AATTGCCGCCTTAAAGTCCATCGACAAAATATTGTGTGTTATTTCCTAATGCCTAAATAAAACTTAGTGGGTGCTATGATGCTGGTGAAGGGCTCTTAAGCCGAGGAATTGGAGCTACCCCCCTCTTCCTCGGATCAAACCTGACTGCCTCTCAATCTGTATATGCTGTATGGACCTTACAGGTTTACCGCTTGGTGAGCATACCAGGGAAAAGGGTTGATTTTTGCTGTTCTAAACTGGTACAGCCGAGGGCCCCGATGGAAATGAGTCACTTTTACGGTTTTTTGGGTTATCCTGGTCAGGGAATTTACACTGTGTATGATAATTGTACTTATGCCCAGCAGTAACAGCCTGGTTGATCAGACCCCATCCACCACGAGGCCCGTCCCCAGACCAAGCCGTGGGGCGTTGACCCCCTGAAACCCTCTCCAGTATGCTCCAGGGATGTGCCTATTTTTTTTTTTATTTCAACGTCGGTCGTTTCACACCGAGGCAGGGCGACTGGAGAAAAAAAAGAACACTTTCATCATTTCTCTCCATCCAATACTAGAGTTCAAACACTGCAACATATCTCTACCCTTCCTTCAGAGTGCAGGTATTGTTCCTGTACCTAAACTTACTGACTTACAGCAGGCGAGGTCTGAAAATAAATTTATTATTATTAAAAGTTTTTTTGACAATACCTACATTGTTTATACAGGAACGGGTGACATTGAATAAATGTAAAAAGCCATGGGTTTGGCTTAAGCCTAACTTTAAAAACTACAAGGACAATAAACATAACATAAACAGTGACCCCCGTCCCAACAATATTATTTCAATCCAGAAGTCTGTTTGGGTGCCGGAATAGACCGAATTTGTTCCCATAAGAAATATTGTGAATTAGATTACGTAGTCCACTTCAGACCCCCAAAAATACACCTACAAAAAAAACACTTACATAATTGGTCGAGTTGGGAGCTGATCGTTAGGGGGGGGTCCACTGTAATTTTTTTTAGACATTAAATGTATACGGCACTCCTCACTTAACGACCGATTCCGTTTTCCCACAACCTACTAGGTCATTGTATGACCCTTATAGGGTTAGCACTTCTTTTTTATTAAAATAATAATACGACTAATCGTTAACCCTTTTTAGGTCCGTCCCGAGATCTACGGCTTTTACGTTCAGGGTCCAAACCGTAGATCTACGCCATGAGCTCAGCTCACTCTGAAAAACTGTGAGTGGTACATTTGGGCCTAGATATGAGAGAATACAATCTATGTGGTATTTTGCACCACATAAAACACATCCTGCAGCACACTGTGTATAATGAGAGTAAAAAAAATGAAATCATGATTTTTCGATTAAACAGCAACTTTGCAGTGTTTTTTCGTATGTTTTTTATAGTTGTATTTTGCGATTTCTTGGTCTCATTTGATAGAATGGAAGACATATTACAGAAATAGAGATGATTTTGATTGGTTTTAGCACAGGAAATGGCTTGAAACTGAGCTCAAAGTACGAAAAAGTTAAATTTTTGCCGATAAATTCAAGAGTAAACAAACGACCTCACACGTCTAATACACGTCAGCTGGTGGGTCTAATATATATTCACAAATATGGTGATGATATTTATACAATTATTACAGTATTGCATTTAAAAGTAAGTCTTCTATTTTTTGGTGTGAAATAAAATTCATTATGTGAATAAAAAATCAAAATGGAATTTATTTGTAAAGCCTCAAAAAATAACTAATGAACAGAGGGAAAAGTTAGTTTAGTGCCAGGAATGCCTACATTGTTCATTCTGAACCCTATTTTGAAATTGGAATATTTTGAACTTTGTGTTAAATTGGCCAAATTTAAAAAATTTCCGATCACTTTATTTTGTATTGAAACAGTTGACTTGGCGATTTCTTGTGCTCAATCGATAGAATTTTTGGGTTTATTGGAATAATGTAATTGGCCCAAAAATGGGAGTCAAAGTCGGCAAAATCGCCGATTCGTAAATATCGCTGACACATCAAAATTCGCGAGGCATAAATTTCGTCAATTTTCCACCAAAATTTTGTACTTTTTGTTTTATTTACCTTCAGAAAAAGATTTTCTAATAACGATTCATAAGAAAAAATAACAAATTTTTTTTTTTTAAATTCTTGGACCCCCTGGTGCGTGACTCCAGATTTGGGCCTTGGACCCTGAAAGGGTTAAGCGAATTGGTCGGTAAGCAAGGAGCGTACTCTACCGTGGGTGTGTGTCGACCATCTTTAGTTACTGTTTAATGTCACATTTGCACCATAATTATTTAAAATTTTAATAAAAATTTTTAAATACAGTGGACCCTCGAATTTAGTTCGTGGGCCCTTTTTTGTATGCAAAACTATTTTTATTATCTTTGAAATGTATTTTTTGTTAATATTTCCCATAGGAAATTAATGAAATCCAAATTTAAAACCCTTCCAACACCCAAAAATATTAACAAAAAATACATTTTATAGATAAAAATAGTTTTGCATACAGAAAAGGCAGGACTAAATTCGAGGGTCCACTGTATTATACAGTATATACTGTATACTGTACAAAATAAAGGAAATCACTGTAATATATTTGGCCTGTACAAATAAAATAAATTAGCGATATAATGAATATATAAATAAATTTTAAATATATTTTGACATGATTATGAGAAAAATTATTTGGGTTAAAGTTTAATAAGCTTATAGGTAAAGATTTTTACATTAGATGACATTCAATTCAAGAACTTGAATTCTCGAAGAGGCTATTTTTTGGGGGATAATTATAATTATCTTAAATAGTAACATGTGTAAATTATTTAGGATAATAATACTGGCAGAATTACTGACTGTATTAGGGACAACGTGTAACTAATTTTGGCATTAAGCTTATGTATATGGCTTACCTAAAATAAATATAACTATTCAATATGGGCTATTTACCTGAGGTTTAATAATTCAGAATAGCCCAAGATAATTCAGAAAAACCCAAGCAACATGGCTTATTTGTACCGAGATCTTACGAGTCTCTTCCCCAGGATGCCACCCACAACAGTTGACCAGCACTCACCCAGTTGAACAGGGACAGCAGGCGTATGGTTGCCAGTGTTTCTACTCATCCTGAATGTGAAAACATTATATTTGTGCATATTTTTTAGCTAAAACACATAAATTATCACACTTTTAATCGAAACTACAGCCTCTCCTCGCTTAGCGACACGCTCATTTACCTACCGCTCAGACTTACGACCAGCTCTCCATCCAGTATGCAAACCTAAATAATGTATATTAGAGCTGAATTCCACTATTCTGTTTATTACAGTATACAATGGACCCCCGCATAACGATTACCTCCGAATGCGACCAATTATGTAACTGTATTTATGTAAGTGCGTTTGTACGTGTATGTTTGGGGGTCTGAAATGGACTAATCTACTTCACAATATTCCTTATGGGAATAAATTCGGTCAGTACTGGCACCTGAACATACTTATGGAGTGAAAAAGTATCGTTAACCGGGGGTCCACTGTATAGTACATTACTGTATAAACATTTAAAATATTCCAGAAATGTTATAAATGGTGCAAAGATGATATTAAAAAAATATCTAAAGATGGTTGACACAAATCCACTACCAGTATAGTATGCTTCTGACTTAATGACCAATGGAACCCCATCATTAAAAGTAAGGAGAGGCTGTACTGTAATGCTGTGATCCAGACACACTACTATTTAAGCCACTTAATGAAACGTGATTACACTGACAGTTCACATTATTTACACAAAATACCCCAACAAACTCCAAAATATCAGGCAAGATACCACAAATAGCTTAACCAAACCCCTAAGCTAAGAAATATGATAGAATAAAAAGTCGCAATACCATGGCCAGGCTCCAGGAGTAGACTCTCGAAACTCGTCAGAGGTATGACCATCATCATGTCACAGACTACGAAATGTCATTTGATAAGACTAATATACTGTAAACATAGTGACATCACAAAGAAATACCCTGTAGTTTCAACTAGTTTTTATTGGTTTCCAAGCATTATAGGTTTGCCAGTGACACAAGACTGTGAATCCTTCAACATTAGCAGTGTGTACTGCTGTGTGAGTTCAGAGCTTAAAACTCGTCTCTAGAACCTACCACAAGATTGGCTGAAATATAATTGCTGGAACTAGTAGTACAGCCACACGGGAGGCTAAGGGGCATAAACACTCCCATGGTAATTTTCATTTTTTTTTTTTTCAAAATGTATTATAGCCACAAAGGAACTATAGTTAAAGAATTTTCACACATAGTAGCTCCCTCGTACCTGTGGGAGGGATACGTTCCAAGACCTACTATGGCTACCTGAAACTGTGGATAATAGCGAACCCTGTATGCAAGTCGTTATTCATTTAAAGTTTGATAAATTACAAACAATTATTAGAGAATTATCACTTTTTCACTGATGAGAAGTGCTTCACAGCTTCTCTTAGGCTTTGAAGAACTTCCATCACTACTTTTTGTGCTTTGGTATCCTTATTAAGCAAAATTTAAGGTTTGTTTCAGGCCACGGTAAACCATGGATAACCGAAACTGGAAACTAAATCCATGAATTGGAGGATTCTACTCTTCATTCTAAAAATGATCTTTTTAAAAATTATTTAAACTTTTAAAAAATCTCATCATTTTTAAGCCCCTTTAGCCGCCTCTCAGAATGAAATCCCGGCTGCCCTGCTGGCTGGCACTAGTTTTTTAGTGTTTCAAGAATTTTAAAAAATATTTATTAAATTCTCAAAATTTTTATTTATTTTTATCGAAGCTGCGCTGACCATCTTATATTGGTTCCAAACCCTTTATTTATTTTTCCATAACTCTGTTCCATTAAGCTTTCATTTTTAATATTTTTTCTTTTACCTCTTTTGCCTAAATATGACAGTCACAGAATTGGGAAATGTGAATGAAGACTTCATTGTTTTTCCTTAAATTTTAAATCATATTTACCATTTTCAGTTGCACAGTTGCCAGTGTATTGCTGGACTGGAGGACATCTTGATCGACACAGTTATCCACTAAGAAGAAATTCGTCAGTTTCATTCAACACCAAGATTGTTCCACACCCTAAACACCAGTCTCTAATTATCTGTGAGTTTTCTGCATCTTGGAAAACACAGTTCTCAGTTCTCCCCAAATTTGCAAGAACAATGGAAAATAATTTTGATTCAGAAAGAGAAAATGTCAGTGAAGAGAATGAAAATATTTTGGCTAGGAAGCAGAAAAGAGAGAGAGAGACTGACTCAGCAAGTGACAACCGGTATGACTCCCCCACCCAAGAAGTCTCTACAAGAGAGCAGTAATGTTTGCCAGCAGCCTGAAGAAGAAATGGCATCTCCATCAGTGTCATTAAACGCAAAACACGTCCAAGAAGATAGAATAGGCGGAAGTGCCAATGGTGATAATGACCTGGGTACGATGGGTCGCTCACAACACAAGGAGCTTGAGCCTTCAGAACTTGGCCATACAGTGTTAGAAGATAACGAACATATATCTAATAAAAATATATCTAAACAGGAATTGACAAATAAAAGCACATTAGATTCTTGTTCCCCTGCCAGTGTGCGTAAATATTTTAATAAGGGTGCTTTTGGAATGCAGGGATCAAATTTGTCACTAAACAAGAGTTTGTCACTAGATAGTCTTGACCAAGATGTGTCTTTGACGGAAAGTTTAGACCAGGATGTTTCCTTAGCAGAGAGTGGAAATTTTTCATCGGGCATCTTTGAAACTGAGTGCGAGTCACTAAGTAGCATCAGGTATTTCCTGATGATGATCTTGAGAAATTTGAAGAAAGTGCAACTCCTATTGATTCTGGAAAAGTCCTAGATAAAATTGAAGAATCTGTGCCCCCTTGTAAAAAAAGCAAAAATAAACAGTCCAAAGATGAGAAAAAGAAAAAGAAGAAACAGAAGAAAGCTGTAGAGAATGCAGATGGTGATGCTAACAAGACCCTCAGACCGAACTTTTTCTTAGGAATCCAGATAACTAATGCTGATGTAAGTACCATAGATCTGCTATTAATTTTTTTTCTAGTTTGAGACAGTTGAGGTATTCATGTGGTATCCTTATGTCGGGTCGAGAGCCCATGGCTTCTTGTTGAGCTTGAAGGGCCACTGATGGCTGATGTATTGAGCTCTGTTACCAGGTGTCTGAAGAGGAAATATTGGCCAAATCTTGGCAGCGAAAGGAAGGGGCACAAGTCCCTCCGGTCTGAAGTTATTAATTGCTGTGGATGCGGGTAAGCTAAGATTTTCTTGGGATTTTTAACCCAGGAGGGTTAGTAACCCCAGGATAACCCAAGGAAGTCAGTGTGTCATCAAGGACTGTCTGTCTTATTTCCATTGGGTCCTCAGTCTTGTCCCCCCAGGATGTGGCCCACACCAGTAAACTAACACCCAGATACCTAATTGCTAGGTGAACAGGGACAACAGGTGTAGGGAAGCACACCCAGTGTTTCCACCTAGCCAGGGATTGAACCATGGACACTCAGTGGGTGAGGCAAAAGCATTGACTACCAGGCCACGGAACACCCAAGTTGTATACATCTGTTGTATTAAAATAACTAAAAAAAATCTAAAGAACATTTGTCAATGCTCAATAATAATCATGTATATTATGATGAATAAGTCATTAATTGCAGCTTAATCTTTATTGGTACAATGCTTTGCCACAAATTGGCTTTATCACATACAGATAAATCTGATTTGTGTTGAAACGTACCAATAAAAACTCCTCTGCAATTACCATCTTGCTGTACAGCAAATCCTCCAAATAATGGACTGATGAAGCAGGTGACCAGTAATGGTAATTGTGGTGGAAAGAGACAAGATTGTTTTGTCATGATCGTAATAATAATGACAATTCTGCGACCAACAGACTCTGTCCTCTGTTTCCAGGTCTAGTGACCCAGCGGATTTTATTCAGTATTTCTGAAGGCCATTAAATGGAGGGTTTAGTGTCAATTTGGCTATTTTTCTAGAATCTCTTGTATCATATCAATGTTTGTGAATAAATAATGAACGTGAAGTTAATGTATAATGACTGTAGCAGTGCACCGATGTCATTGTAGTGTTTACACGATGATCTGGCATCATAGCTGAATGCTAATGTGTCTGTGGTGGTGTAAGTTTATGTAGGTACAGGTACACATAAAGACAATTATCATACATAGTTACATATGTCCTAGGAATAGGTTGGTAAACAGTAGCCACCCAGGGAGGTACTTCTGTCCTACCAGTAGAGTGTGAAATGGAAACCTGTACTTGTTTTACATGATGGTAGGATTGCTGGTGTCATTTTTTTGTCTCATAAACATGCAAGGATTCAGGTATGATGTCTTGCTGCTTCTATTTATACCAAGGTCACACTACACATGCATGTACATACCCCTCTGGGTTTTCTTCTATTTTCTCACTAGTTTCGTTCTTGTTAATTTCCTCTTATTTCAAATGAGAAGTGGAACAGAATTCTTCCTCCATAAGCCATAGGTGTCATAAGAAGTGACTAAAATGCCAGGAGCAAGAAGCTAGTAACCCCTTCTCCTGTATATGTTACTAAATTTTAAAACGAGAAACTTTTCTTTTTCTTTTTGGGCACCCTGTCTTGGGGATATGGCCATTCGTTGAGAGAAGTTACATGTGTGTAAATTACCTAGGATAACCCCAAAAAAGTTAAAATAACTTATTTCCGCTGAGGTTGTTTATTGTAGAGGCTAGAGAGGAGGTTTATTTTGGGAATGGTATCACCATAACTAAAGTGTAATGTATAGTGGTTCAGTAGTAAAAATGGTAGATGTTTATTTTTGAAAAGTAAAGCCCATAGCTGTGCAAGCTGGGTTGGTAGCACACTCGGCTCACACACCGAGGTCCGTGGTTTGATCCCCGGTACGAGTGAGAACATTGGGGTGTTTCCTCGATACACCTGCTGGCACTGTTCACTTAGCAGACAATACGTACCTGAGTGTTTACCCAACTGGGTAACACCCTGGTACCTATGTAACTTGACTCAAGAAATCGTAATGACAAGATTGCAAACAAACCATACCACAGGTGGGGATAGAATCCGCGATCAGAGTCTCAAAACTCCAGACCGTCGCATTAGCCACTGGACCAGCTAGCCACAATAAGATTCGTCCAACTAGGTATATTTCTACACCATAGGAAGGTTAGCATAGGCACCACTGTGACCACAAATGCAAGTTTTTACAGACGAATCTTCAGCTAGCGTGGCCATGACGAACTCTAGCTCAAGTCCCCTCAAAGGGATTCTATGCCGCCCATGTATAGTTTGTTTACCTATTGTTAAATTTGTAATTTAGGTTAATTTGTACCCAGGATGCAACCCCTGGGTACAAAATTAACCTAAATTGCCCAAAATGCGTGTGCATAACCAGAGGCTTTCTATAGAGTATGTCACTGATGTTGGCTCTGGTCTGTACAAGTTGTAACATGGACTTGTAGCAATAAATATTATTATAATTATTATTATTAATAATTTTCCATTTATCACACAAGCTTCTATTTACATTCAGTATACATTTCTTCTTCTTTCAACAAACCTGCCGTATCCCAACGAGGCAGAAAGAAAAACAAAAGTTTCTCTTTTTAACTTCAGTAATGTATACAGGAGAAAGGCTTACTACACCTTGCTCCTGGCATTTTAGTCACCTCTTATGACACGCATGGCTTACGGAGGAAGAATTCTGTTCCACTTCCCCATGGGAAGTGCTTCTTAATAGTTCTTATTGTTGTAATATATTTTTTTTTTTCAATTTATCAGACCAGTTAATGGGGACAGTGATCCCTAGAGCCATTAATAAACCTTGATTTAATGGACTAATGGGGGAGGTTTAACCTCAATGATTGTCTCCTACTAAGGCAGGTGACCAAAAAAAGAAAGCATATTTGCCATCTTTCATTTAGTTGCCATCTTTCCAGAAGTGTGCTGACCAGTACCCTTCCTACCTCCAGCACTCAAGTCCAGCTAACCAGTTTCCCTTAATCCCTTAATAAATGATACTTTGCTCTCACTCCTACAGCACATCAAGTCAAAAACTACTTGTCTCCACTCCTATCTAATGCCTCACACAAGCTTGCTGGATGTTCAATACCTTGGCACTCAAAACCTTCACCTCCTCCCTCCAACTCTCCTTGGGATGGCTCCCTACCCTTCCTTCATCCCTTAGAGTTAATACATATTCGTGTGGCCTGTTATTTAATTTCTGATAACTGTCCACAGATTCACCAGGCAATCGTCAAGGTCCAGGAAGAAATGTTAGCATACGACAAATCTCTGATGAGGTCATTTATTGATGCCGCTACATCTCACCTCACTCTGCTGGTAGCTTACATAGATACTGATGAGGCTCTCCAAATGTGAGTTTAATTCCCCATTTTTTTTTTTTTTACCTCTGTCTTCAGACTACCTTTTACTTTGATTCATTTTTCACTCGTTTAAAATATTTTTTATAAATGTCAATAATTCTTCCTTACTCCAATTTACTTCCTTGTCCCCACCTCTTTAACTGCAACAACTCCCTTTATAATTACTACTACTTAGCTTGTTTTGATATGGTAAATTTTTATGTAAAATATAACCGTAATTGTCCTACTATTTTTCTGTGCAAACAGCTCTTTGTGAATTAAAGAAAATCAGTACTGCAACTCGCTTGTTAGTTGAGAATCTGTATTGTCAGCCATACTCAATGATCAGTTTTAAGCCGAGGCTTTAAATCCTCTGCTAGAGTAAATGTTCTGTTTTCTCCATTTTAAAATAGTGCCCAGTCAGCACTGGATGAGTGTGGCACCAAATTAATGGATGTCATGACTGAGAAGCCAGTTAGATTGACATTCTCTGGAGTGAGTCATTTTTCTAACCAGGTGAGTTTGAGTGTTTGTTGAGTCTACCTTTCGTAAGTTTAGAGAGAAAAAACTATGCCTTAAAATTTATATTTAAATTTATTTTAAGAATAGTAACTGCATAATGTATTTTGTAGAACTTTGGGTCACAAGTGTTAAAAATTGTTGATAGATATACAGTGGTACCCCGAATTTCAGCCTTAATTTCTTTTCAGAATGCTGTTCGAATGCCGTTACTGAGCGAATTTGTTCCCATAAGGAATACTGTAAATTACATTAGTCCGTTTCAGACACCAAAAATACACTTACAAAAGCACTTACAAAAATACACTTAAATAATTGTTCGAATTGGGAGCTGTTCGAAATTCGAGGTACCACTGTATTTTTTTTTTCAATGCACCAGCTGCATCCCACCAAGGCAGGGTGACCTGAAAAGGAAAACAAAAGTTTCTCTTTTTTAAATTTAGTAATTTATACAAAAAGGGTAATTAGCCCCTTGCTCCTGGCATTTTAGTCGCCACTTACAATACGCATAGCTTACGGAGGAAGAATTCTGTTCCAACAGAATTCTTCCTCCGTAAGCCATGCGTGTTGTAAAAGCGATTAAAATGCCGGGACCAAGGGCCTAGTAACCCCTTCTCCTGTATAAATTACTAAATTTAAAAAGAGAAACTTTCGTTTTTCTTTTTGGGCCACCCTGCCTTGTTGGGATGCTGCCGGTTTGTTGAAAAAAAAAATATAGTGTATCTTTCTTCTTTCTTTCAACAAACTGGCCGTATCCCACCAAGGCAGGGGCCCAAAAAGAAAAACAAAAGTTTCTCTTTTAAATTTAGTAATTTATACAGAGAAGGGGTTATATATATATATATACATGTATATGTACACATATAACCTGCACATAGGAGAGAGAGAGAGAGAGAAAGAGAGAGAGAAAGAGAGAGAGAAAGAGAGAGAGAGAGAAAGAGAGAGAGATAGAGAAAGAGAGAGAGAGAGAGAGAGAGAGAGAGAGAGAGAAGAGAGAGAGAGAAGAGAGAAAGAGAGAAAGAGAGAAAGAGAGAAAGAGAGAAAGAGAGAAAGAGAGAGAGAGAGAGAGAGAACAGAGAGAGAGAGACAGAGAGAGAGAGAGAAAGAGAGAGAGAGAGACAGAGAGAGAGAGAGAAAGAGAGAAAGAGAGAAAGAGAGAGAGAGAGAGAGAGAGAGAGAGAGAGAGAGAGAGAGAGAGAGAGAGACAGAGAGAGAGAGAGAAAGAGAGAGAGAGAGACAGAGAGAGAGAGAGAAAGAGAGAGAGAGAGAGAAAGAGAGAAAGAGAGAGAAAGAGAGCTTAAGATGATGTTTTGGTCCAACTTGGACCATTTACAAGTCACATTAACACATGAAGGTGAGACAAGACGGCCCATGTGACCACTCGTGCAGTTATTGTAGGTACTGCTTGCCAGTGCTTAACCAGACAGAGAAGCTGATGTCATTGATGGTGCCACATCACTCTTAACCGGGCAGTGAAATTCACGTCATTGATGGTGCCATGTCACTGTCTCTTGTCGTTGATGCTCGTTATTATAACTTGATATGACAGTATTTAAGGAAGGCAGGGTAGGGGTCGGCCTAGGAAAGGTTGGAGAGAGGGGGTAAAGGAGGTTTTGTGTGCGAGGGGCTTGGACTTCCAACAGGTATGCATGAGCGTGGTTGATAGGAGTGAATGGAGACAAATGGTTTTTAATACTTGGCGTGCTGTTGGAGTGTGAGCAAAGTAACATTTATGAAGGGATTCAGGGAAACGGCAGGCCGGACTTGAGTCCTGGAGATGGGAAGTACAGTGCCTGCACTCTGAAGGAGGGGTGTTAATGTTGCAGTTTAAAAAACTGTAGTGTAAAGCACCCTTCTGGCAAGACAGTGATGGAGTGAATGATGTGAAAGTTTTTCTTTTTCGGGCCACCCTGCCTTGGTGGGAATCGGCCAGTGTGATAAAAAAAAAAAATAAATAAAATGACAGTATTTCTCTATGTTGAGCATTTTTGTTTATGGCTTTCATTGTTCGTTAATTTTATATCTTTTCTTATACAAACAAAGTTTATTTCTTTGCAAAGGTTGCAATGTATTTTTACATTTCATAATTTAATTGGTACGAAGAAAGCCACTATCATGCCAAGGCATTTCAGGCAGGCTTAACCTTTGTACATATGTGTTTGCACAACTGAACGTATTTTACAGTGGACCCCCGGTTAACGATATTTTTTTCACTCCAGAAGTATGTTCAGGTGCCAGTACTGACCGAATTTGTTCCCATAAGGAATATTGTGAAGTAGATTAGTCCATTTCAGACCCCCAAACATACACGTGCAAACGCACTTACATAAATACACTACATAATTGGTCGCACTCGAGGTAATCGTTATGCGGGGTCCACTGTACTTCTATGAGGACAGTGATCTACGTAAATCAGAGTGCGCTGGAAGTACCACCATGAGTACTACTTGTCTTGTGTCTTTGTTAACCAGTTTAGACGACAGGGGCTGTCTTTGACAACCGAGTGCTTGTAACTTGTGTTATCTTTAGAGTACGTTTCTTTAATATTATATATCATGGGAAATTGATAAACCCGCATGGTTAGCCAGACTTGAGTCCTGGAGGTGGGAAGTACAATGCCGCACTAAAGGAGGGGTGTGGGATATCTGCTGTTTAGAGTGACAGCTAAACTGTCATATCTCCATGCCTCTGACAAGACAGTGATAGTGTGGGTGATGGTGATGTTCTTTTGCGGTCACTGCCTCAGTGAGAGACGATCAGCGTGTTAAGATGAAAAAGTATGGTCATACAGCACCTGAGGACTGGAAGGTAATCAGGATTGACTCAATGAAGGAAGGGAGGTTAGCTCATACTCTTTGGATATCGGTGTATTAGAAGTGAAAATATAGAGTGAGTATTAGTAGTAATAATAGTCATAGTAATAGTAGTAGTTTGGTAGGGAAAGGAGTGAAGTACAGGGTGGCAAGTGGTGGAACTGCTACATGTAACACAGACTTAAGTGAAGGTTTCAATTGCAACATCTTGTGCATGTGTTATTACAGATTATTATTATTATAATCATGGGGGGAGTGCTAAACCCGTAGGATTATACAGATGTTATTACAGAGATAATGTTCTTTGATGTACCTTGTTAAATGTTTTGCACTTTGGCAGGACTACTGATCCTTGCTTTGTCTCTGGACTATATGTAAAATAAATAAATCTTGCCTCTATGGGGAAGCGGAGAAGAATCCTTCCTCCGTAAGCCATGTGTGCCATAAGAAGCGACTAAAATGCCAGAAGTAAGGTGCTAGAGACCCCTTCTCCTGTAGAAATTGCTAAATGTAAAAAGAAGAAAAACTCGTTATTTTCGGGTCACCTTGCCTTGGTGGGAGACAGCCAATCTTCTTTCAACCATCCGGCCATATCCCACAGAGGCAGGGTGGCCCAGAAGGAAAAAGGAAAGTTTCTTATTTAAATTTAGTAATATATACAGGAGGAGGAGTTACTAACCACTTGCTCCCAGCATTTTAGTCGCCTCTTACAACATGCATGGCCTATGGAGGAAGAATTGTTTCATTTCCCCATGGAGAAGAGACAGCTGATGTGTTAAGAAAAAAATTGTGAACTTCAAATTTCTATGTGTGATCCACATAGGTTTAACACTTTGATTAACCCGTAAACGTCCAAACGTATATATACTTTTTTTCAACATCTGAAAGTGGTGTAAAAAAATGTAGATCTTCTTTTTTGTTTTACATTTGAAAACGTGTAAAAAAAAACTTTTATCTACATTTTTGTTTTTGTTATATTTGAAAATATGTAAAAAAAAAAGTAGATCTGCTTTTGTAGCTACGAATTTGAACGTCGATTTGTTTGGACCGTTTAAGGGTTAAAGTTTATATAAAAACAATGGATATTGTTCAATATAGGTGTTATTACAAAAATGTAAGTATCACTATGAATACAGTGAACCCTTGCTATAATGGACTAATGAGGAGGGGGGATTGTTGAGTGACCTTTAGATCAGAATAATGTTATAAAATATATAAAAAAGACACTTAAGTACTCTGCTCTATACTAATATAGTACAGTAAACACAGTTTACAGTTGTTTAAAATGCTGATCGTTTCCAACCAAGGCTGGGTGACCTGAAAAAGAAACACTTTCATCATCGCTCACTCCATCACTGTCTTTGTCAGAGGTGTGCAATAAACATTGAAATTAAAGTACAGTGGGCCCCCCGGTTTACGATCAGCTCCCAATGCGACCAATTATGTAAGTGCGTTTGTATGTGTATGTTTGGGGGTCTGAAATGGACTAATCTAATTCACAATATTTCTTATGGGAACAAATTCGGTCAGTACTGGCACCTGAACATACTTCTGGAATGAAATAATATCGTAAACCGGGGGTCCACTGTAGTTGAAAATACAATTTACCCAGTAGACTTTTCCTATTGTTTTAAAAATCTGTCATATAGAGTTTCTACTTAATTTAGCCTGATGTTCCTGCCATTCTTTTCCATGATGATAAATGGTTTTCAGGTGGTTTTTGGACAGTTAGTGGAGGATGAGCAGTACCAGCGACTGATGGACGTAGCTGAACACACACTCGCACTGTGTTCTTGGAGAAGGGTGTGTGTATGCCAGACACTCGAGAGCTGCATCCTCACCTAACAATTGCAAATTATCCAAGGCACCCAGAATAAAAGGCAAGGTCAGTCACTTCTAAAGACTTTAAAAGAGAAAGAATGTATATGATGTGCAGGCAGGCCCCCACTTCACAGTGCTTTGCTTTCAGCGTTTCTCTGATACAGTGGTACCTCGATTTAGTACAGCTCCCAACTCTAACAATTATGTAAGTGTATTTTTTGGGGGTCTGAAATGGACTAATCTAATTTACATTATTCCTTATGGGAGCAAATTCATTCGGTAACGGCACTTGAACAGCCTTCTGGAACAAATTATGGCTGAAACTCTGGGTACCACTATACAGCGGTTTTCAGTTATATCCATTCTTCATTTATTCAGACTTCCTACAATAAATATTTTCACCACTCGCTGTTAACTAAGGATGAAAATATTTTAAGGTAATTAATGTGTGTAAGAGGCGACTAAAATGCCGGGAGCAAGGGGCTAGTAACCCCTTCTCCCGTATAAATTACTAAATTTAATAGAAACTTTCGTTTTTCTTTTTGGGCCGCCCTGCCTTGGTGGGAAACGGCCGGTGTGTTGAAAGAAAGAATTAATGTGTGTACTGTATATGCATTATTTAGGCCTAGCTGTATTGTTCACTTAATATTTCATAGTGTAAATATGTTATCAGGCTTTTATATGCATTTGAAATTGAAAAAGGGGTCTGATGCACTTTACAGCAGTAGTCTGGAAACTAACCTGCTGTATGAGTGGGACCTTACAGAAGCCCAGAACATAACCTGCTGTATAAGTGGGCCCCTACAGTAGGCTGGAAACTAACCTGCTGTATAAGTGGGATACTCCTGTACTTTAATCTGGTTATATTATTATTATTATAACAGTAGCTTGAAGGCTACTTAATTTCAGATGTTGTAATTCATCCTACAGAGGCAAATATAATACAGTACAGTATGTATTCCATAATAAATAAAAAATCTTATTCTATGCTGCATAGGTGCTGAGAAAAGAGAAAAATAAACATACGTAAGCATATTTGTTCATTTTTTTTTTTTAACACATCGGCCATTTTCCTAGGTGGTAGGTTGGTAGACAGCAACCGCCCAGGGAGGTACTACCGTCCTGCCAAGTGACTGTAAAACGAAAGCCTGTAATTGTTTTACATGATGGTAGGATTGCTGGTGTCTTTTTTCTGTCTCATAAACATGCAAGATTTCAGGTACATCTTGCTACTTCTACTTACACTTAGGTCACACTTAACATACATGTACAAGCATATGTATACACACCCCTCTGGGTTTTGTTCTTGTTTATTTCCTCTTACCTCCATGTGGAAGTGGAACAGAATTCTTCCTTCGTAAGCCATGCGTGTTGTAAGAGGCGACTAAAATGCCAGGAGCAAGGGGCTAGTAACCCCTTCTCCTGTATAATATTACTAAATTTAAAAGGAGAAACTTCTGTTTTTCCTTTTGGGCCACCTCACCTCACCTCGGTGGGATATGGCTGGTACGTTGAAAGAAAGAAGAAAAGAAAGATCGGCCGTTTCCCACCAAGGCAGAGTGACCAAAAAAAGAAGGAAAAACCCAGAAAGTAAGAAAACACATCATCATTCAACACTTTCACCATCACTCATGCATAATCACTCTTTGCAGAGGCGCTCGGATACGACAGCTTAGACGTCCCTCCAAATTGCCAGTATCTCAAACCCCTCCTTTAAAATTCAGGCATTGTACTTCCCATTTCCAGGACTCTAGTCCGGCTAACCAGTTTCCCTGAATCCCTTTACAAAATATTACCCTGCTCACACTCCAACAGCTTGCCAGGTCCCAAAAACCATTCGCCTCCATTCACTTCTATCTAACACGCGCACACACGCTTGTTGGAAGACAAAGCCCCTCGCCCACAAAACCTCCTTTACCCCCGCCTTCCTTCTCCTACAGATTTATACGCTCTCCAAGTCATTCTAAATGATCAGACCACCTCAACAGCCCCTCTTCAGCCCTCTGACTAATACTTTTAGTAACTCCACACCACCTAATTTCCACACTATGAATTCTCTGCATAATATTTACACCACACATTGCCCTTAGACATGACATCTCCACTGCCTCCAGCCACCTCCTTGCTGCAGCATTTACAACCCATGCTTCTCATCCACATAAGAGTGTTGGTACCACTATACAACATTCCCTTCTTTGCCTCCATGGATAACATTGTCTCCACAAATACCTCAACACCCCACTCGCCTTTTTTCCTTCATCAATTCTATGGCTAACCTCACCCTTCATAAACCCATCTGCTGAAAAGTCAATTTCCAATGTGATATCCAGTTTTTCTTTATCTAAATCGTTTGATACCCTCATCACTTTACTCTGATCTATGTTCACTTTCAACTCTTCCTAAGAGTAGGCTAGTAAGCAAAATGGGTCATCAACCCTTAAACTGTCCAAACATAGATCTACGTTCACGCGTGTAGTGTTCTGGATTTGACATCTGATTTGACGTGGTTTCTTTCGTGAAAAAAAACGTAGATCTACGATCGGAGTGCTACTCATGTGAACGTAGATCTACGTTTGGACAGTTTAAGGGTTAAGTGAGGAGCATACTGTGCTGGTAGTGGGTTTGTGTCTACCATCTTTAGATATATTTTTAAATGTCACCTTTGCACCATTTATAACATTTTTAGTATACATGTATTTTTAAATTATTATACAGTAGTGTACTGTATACTGAAATAAACAGAGGAAATCAGCTCTAATATACATAGGCTTTCATATTGTTCGGAGAGTTGGTTGTAACTCCGAGCGGTCAGTAAACAAGTACGTCGCTAAGTGAGGAGAGACCGTATTTTACTGAGTATGGTTAGATAGCATATGTGATAATTAGTTGACAGAGAATCAAGCCTTCATCTCTCACTGTTGTCAGTGAGCAATGCAGGTTTAGTGCTCATTGAAGTACAAGTATAGTACAGTACTACACAATACTGTACTTATTTTATTACTACACTCGTAATTCTTAGACATTCGTATTTTTCTGATCAAATGTAAAAAAAAAAAAAAAATTATTTTCAATTGGAAAAAAAAATCTTTAATTTGGAATTTTTTGAATAAAAGTCAGTGCTCTCCAGAAATTTAGTATTTTCAAAGATATTTGAAATTTCAGTTTGAAAAATCTCCTAATTCTGGTAAGACAGTGATAGTGTGAATGATGGTGAAAGTGTTTCTTTTTTGGGTCACCCTGCTGTGGTGGGAGATGGCCAGCGTGATAAAAAAAAAAATACCAAATGGAGGAAGGGTGTGGATGTAACAGTGTTGGGATCATCTAAACTGTAAGGTTGGCATCCTCTGATTGAACAAGTGACGCTGAAATGTTTCCCTTTTT